CTCTCTCAGCACTGGTTTGGGTGTGTCTAACAAATTTTGATATGTTGTATTTTTATTTTTATTATATTCCATGTTTGTTGATTGTCCTTAAGACTTCCTCTTTGAGAAATGTATTATTTAAAAGTGTGGATTTATTTTTTAGTTCCTAAGCATTTGGAGAGATGCCTGTTATCTTTCTGTGATTGCTTTCAAGTTTGATTCCATTGTGATCAAACGAATTCTGAGTGATTTCAATTCTTTGAAATTTGTTGAGATTTGTTTTATGGACCGGAATATGGTTATCTTGGTATATGTTCTTTGAGTACCTACTTGTGTAGATTCTACAAATGTTGATTAGATCCTGTTGGTTGTGTTATTGAGTTTGTATATTATCATGCTAATATTTTCTTTATTTGTTCCAATAATTGTTGGCCTAGTGGTTTAAAGCCTCCAATTATAATTGTGCATTTTTCTATTTATAATTTCCATTCTACCCATTTACCTTTACATATTTTGTAGTTGTGTTGTGTGTTGCATACACATTTAAGATTGTTGGGTTTTTTTTCATGGATTGAAGCGTTATTCATTATACAATTTTTTTCTCTTTCTCTCGCCCTGGTGATTTTCTCTTCTCTGAAGTTCATGTTATCTGGTATTAATATATGCACTCTTGTTTTCTTTCTATTAATATTTGTATGATATCTTTTTCCATTCTTTTACTTTCAATTTGCCTAGATTGTTATATTTGAAGTAAGTTTCATGTTGACAGCATATAGTTGAGCAATATTTTTTAATCCACCTCACTCATCTGTTTTTATTGGTGCATTTAGATAATTAACATTTAATGTAATTATTAATACACTAGGGCTTATGTCTGCCATTCTATTTTTTCTGCTTTTTTCTCTTTGATAGTTTATTACTTTTTTCAAATTTTATTTTGACTTATCTATAATCCTTTCTGAGCATATCTCTTTTTATATTTTTTTTTGGTAGTTTCTCTAGGTGTCCTAGTCTATTGATATCACCATTTTGCCAGTTTGAATGAAATATAGAATCTTTACCTTCATTTATGTCCCTCAAACACCTCCATTTCTCATGTTAAATACTTCTTAAATATTTCTTTTACAAGTGTTTAAATCACATCAGACAATGTTATAAGTTTTGCTTCAACTATCAAACATAATTCAGAAAACATAAGGGAAAATGAAAAAATATTTTATTTTTGTTTATTATGTTCTTTATACAGTTCTGATACTCTAAAGTTTCTTCTTTTATTGTTACTTTTCTCTTTAGAGAAATTTCTTTAGTCATTCATTTAGTTTATGTCATCAGTTGGCAACATTTTTTCTGTTTATTTTTATCTGAGAATGTCTTCATTTCTCCTTCACTCCTGAAAGATAATCTCACTGGGTATAGGCTTATGAGTTGATGATTCTTTGATTCTTTCTTTGCAACACTTGAAAAATTTTCTGCACTTCTTTATACTCTCCATGATTTCTGATGAGACATCTATTGTCTGTCAAAATGTTTTTCCCCTAGAAAAAGGTTTTTATTTTTCTATAACTGCTTTCAAGAATTGTTTCTTTGCTTTTGGTTTCCAGAATTTTAATTATGGTATGATGGCATGGATTTTTTTCTGGTTTATTCTGTTTAGAGTTTGCTCAGCTTCTAAAACCTGTTTGTATGTGTCTTTTGCAAAAATCAAGAAAATGTAAGCCATTATTTCTTTAAGTACTTGTACAGCTCTGCCACTTTCTCTTGTCTTCCTAGAATGATGAGAAATGTTAGGTATTTTGTTATAACCTCACATATCCCTAAGCTTCTAATCATGTTTTTTCTGTCTATTTTTTCTCTGTTGTTTAGATTGGGTAATTTATATTGCTTCATCTTCTAGCTCACTGATTTTTATTTCTGTCCTGCCATGGTCCATTTACAGGACAGGGGATGAACACAGAACACAAAAGAAAAACACAGATGCACATACAAAGATGGTTACATGACTTGAGTGATGAATGCACCAGGTCAGTTTATTATTATACTCTAAAAAATTAAAGTTAGTTCCTTATATGTGACCACCCAGGCATTACAGCAATGGCCATAAATTTTGGAACATGTAGCCTTAAGGACACAGATGTCCCCTGACTCAAGGTTTCCAGGTGGTTGCTCTAGTCACCAGCTTTCATTCACTGGGATATTACATGGCAAATGTTTATTTTTCAGTGTGTCATGAATTTATCATAATACACATTAACAAATTTACTAACTTTCATTAAAATTTTTATACAAAATTATCAAATTTTAATTTTGGATAATTAAAGATTCATAACATGACAGAACAGAAAACCTAAGACTAGACAAAATGGCTGAAAATACAACAAAATTATAACAGTGGTTGACTCTGGACAATTTGCATTAAGGGTGATTATTTCCTTTCTCTTACTTTCATACATTTCTTAAATTTGTACAGTACTTACTTTATTGTCACAAAAGAAAATACATTTTAGTTTTTTCAAAATAACAGTTTTTCTGTGTCTAATCAGTTCAGCAACCATTAAATGCACAGAATGGATGAAGTAAAGTATTATATGAAGTAAAGTATTATTAGAAGAAATATCTATTTTATTTACTGACCTATATCCTGCTTTTATTTTATTTTCACTTATTTTATTTTTTTAATCTTGATTTCCTAACCTAAAAATGACCCATTTAAGCTGGAACTATTTGAGCAACAAAATAAATAAATATTGGATTATAAGCTAAAGTATAAAATAAATATCCATGAATCCGTACCGACAGATTAAATAAATAAATTGGATGAAAAGTCAAATATCCTATGCAGAAGAATTCCAAATAATTTGGATAGATAATCACCCTTTAAGGAGGTGGGACATAATTCTCCATTTCTTAACTATGGGCTGCACATAGTGACTTCCTGAGCACAGTGTGGAAAGGGGGTTGGATGTAACTTTATAATGGAATATTTGATGAAAAGATACCTCAGTCAGGTAATCTAGGTCAAAGTATGATCCCTTGATAAGATTTGAAGAAAATAGCACTTTACCTTTGTGGTTTTCCTCCCCCAAATCCATAACCCCAGTCAAATCAATAGGAAAACATCAGACAAATCCCAGTACAGGATCACTCTATGAAATACCTGGCTAGCCTGGCTCAAAACCATCAAGGTCATTAAAAAAAAAAGAAATTCTGAGCAGCTGTCACAGCCACCAGGAGCCTAAGGAGACATGACAAGTAAATGTAACACAGTGTCCTGGATGAGATTCTGGAGCAGAGAGAGGACATTAGGTAAAATTTAAGGGAATATGAATAAAGTATGGACTTTAGTTAACAATAATGGAACAAATGTACCATACTTGTGTAAGAGGTGAATGATGGGAGAAAGTGGATGTGGGGTATATGGTAACTCTGTGTCCTTTCTTTCTTTGCAATTTTTCTGTAAACCCAAAACTATTTGAAAAATACATTCAATCTGAAAAAATTTGAATTACCTTAATAACAAATTCTCCTTTAATTATAAAAGTTGTTTTGCAAGCCATTAATTTTGTTTTAGGTGGGCAGAGTAAAAAGATGTAACAGTAACATGTGGAATCATCTGTGATGCAATAACCCATTAACAGTATTCCTTATTTAACTCACATCTTCATGAATACACACTATAGTGAAAAACTGTGCTCATGAAAGTGCGGAGGGAGACTAACAGCAGCTGAGGTAGTGGTGTTTATAATAATGACCTTGAGGAATAGAGTTTATCCAAGCATGATCAAATACGCTCAGATAAAAATTTTTTGTTAAATATACTTTGTGGTGATATGATTTCTTGAAAGTTCTTAAGCATATAAAGCATAAATAGTGCAGTTTTATCAGTACAAATTTTTTAATAATTAGAACACCCTTTTCATTGCATTTGACTAAATAAATGTTATTGATGACTGATGATTCAAAACCTATTTATGTTCTTAATTCCAAATATAAATATGCATGGTTAGTTAACTATTTAATTTGTTAATCAGTAAAGTCCAATTTCCCTCACCTTATTAATGTTTATTTCCCTTCCATTATATCTCTTCAATTTATAAATTTAATGCTGATGAATGCTTTCTAGAATCACTCTTTTTTTTTGCTGTACGGCAACTCAGAAACTTGCCCCTTACTATTAGCACTGATATTTAAGCAGGTTTCCAATCTTCCTTTAATTATGCTTTTTGTAATTTGGAGCTTATATTTCTAATCTGCAGTTCATGTATTTTCAAATTAGATTATAAATTCCTCATAGACAGGATCTTTTTCTCTTTAGTATTTGCATTTTTCTGAAGCTAATGTGACTTCCTGAGCACAGTGTGGAAAGGGGGTTGGATGCAACTTTATAATGGAATATTTGACAAAAAGATACCTCAGTCAGGTAATCTACTTCAAAGTATGATCCCTTGATAAGATTTGAAGAAAATAGCACTTTACCTTTGTGGTTTTCCTCCCCCAAACATTACATCAATATTAGATGTTGACAAATAATAAAATTACATAGAAATCATTTTGTATTAAAATGTGATTGGAAAAATTAATGCCAAATAATTAGAATTTTTAAATATTAGAATGAAACCATTTACACATGTGCTGCTAATTTGAATATTATGTAAAATGGATCTAAATATATGCACATATTTGCAAATTGCATAGAAACACACTGGGTATCATCTGTGGGTCTTGATGTCAATCTTTGGACTTCTGTATGTCCATTTTCATGATAATGATCTTTTATAAGTTTTGGAATCCCTCAGTATCTGGGTCGGTTAAACTTCTTTCATGTGATAATTTCCTGAAATACAGCAGATAGGTGCTAACTTACTACAATTGTTCTTTTGGAATTATACTATAGTGACTTATACGAGATACAAATATTTGCTCTACTGAGAATACGCACTCCTTGAGAAATTTCACCCAAGAAAAGTGACCTTTATTTGATGTCTATAGCATCTATAAATATGAATTCTTTTTATTCCTAGCATCAGTCCTAAAAAGGACAGAACAGCAATAGCAAAGAAAGGGAGGACCTTCTTTCAAAAACTCTCTCTTCTCTTTTTCGATATAATAGATAGCATCAACATGTCTTTAAGATGCCTTCTTAGACATGATTCCTATTTGATTGATGGTCACACCCCTTACTGGATGCCCCATGATGGGTACCCAGCCTTTCCAGTTTGTGTGTATCTCGCCCAGAACCCTGTGACGTCTATCGCTTTTCTGAGTGGTAGTGCAGAGGGGTTTTGGACGAGGCATGGCTGCTCCTCACTGATGCTGGGATGGAATTCGGCCACTGGAGTGGCTACTGTCTTGGAATGAGCCTTTAGTCAGCACCTCTCAATGGGAGTTCCGCAGACCATCATTGCCAGCACACACACACTTGCTTTGGTGGGCTTCCTTCTGACAATTGAAGGTTTGTAAACTCTCAGATCTGTGTCATGCCAGAGACTCAGTGAACTCAAGTTTATAATCTGATCAGGACATCTCCATAAGAAGACTTATATTCTAATATTAAGCCAGAAAGCTTAGACAGGGAGCTTAGTTGGGGTAGAGGATTGCAAGCTTCCCCACTGGTGGGTGGGAAAGCTAACATTTTACAAATGCATTGCTTTCTGACTCCCTTTCCTACATAACTCAAGGTCTGACTGCTGATGCTTCAATCCTGTGTTGAATAAGTTGATCTTTTTTTTCACACTTCAGTTACCACCACGTTATCATCTTAAACATGATTTCAATACATTAGCTACATACTGTTGAAGAGAAGCAACCGGAGAGCACCTGCTAAGCACCCACTCTCACTTTCCCAGATGCACAACCTCCTAGCAATATCTTTGCTTCCTGTGCAGAAGCAGGCAGACGGCTGTGAATGTTCTGAATTCATTCTCTGTCTTGGTGAGGACGGGGCTTCATTCCAGGCAGGCTTCTGTCTCTGAAATGTCAGTATTGGAGGCAGAGATTCAGGTGTCTCCAGGGCGTTCCAGAACCTACCTTGCCTCACTAGCCAGGTGGTTCTAATATTATCACTTTTGTGTCCCCCCCTGCAGGGTTTGTTGAGGAAACTGTCCATCTGTACTTCCCTAATCTGGATCTGAATTCTCATGTTTTCTCTCAGAAGAACATTCCTTATTGAAGGACATCATCGGTGTCCTCTAAAGTACTTCACTGAGCAGACCCTTTCACCCACACACCTCCGTGATGGCCAGATCCCACCCTTCATTCACCTGGTGTTTGGTCATGGCCTTGCCACACCCTATTCTCAGGGGAGATCACCTTCCTACATACACTCTAAGCTTCCAAGAGCTGGGGATACACAGTGTGAAAAGCTGCACATCGGAATTACTCAAGGAGCTCTCAGAAACTCTAAATCCTTTCTCAGTTTATCCCCACATTCACATTAACAATTTTGGGGTGAGGCTTGGTCATCAGAAGTTTTTAAAAGCCTGGCCTGTGGCACATCCTTGCTATTGTTACTACCTATTTCTGTAGGTTTGTCAGCTTTCTTGTCTATTTACTAATTTTTGCTTCTTTCTCTCACAACTTAAGCAAACAAATAAAAATAAGCATAAATAGCTGCCTTTTTCATTATTAGCTCACAGTTATTAGAAAATATGAACTAAAGTTATTAAAGTATCTTTTTATTATAGCATCTTCAAAGATGAAAATAATTACTTGAAAATAGTATTGAAATTAAATTATTCTATATGGATTGAGTCTTTTAAAATCACACATATTTATGTTATAAGTTCTTGCTCTACAGTTTTGTGTTTCACATGTATTGTAAATCAAAGATAATGTTTTAGTATGTAGCATTTATAATGCTAACCTCTATAACACTTTCAAATTTAGCTTATTTAAAAACAAATTCAGCTGCTGGGTGTGGTGGCTCATGCCTGTAATCCTAGTGACTAAGGACGCTGAGGCAGGAGGATTTCTTGAGGTCAGGGGTTTGACACCAGCCTAGGCAACATAGCAAGATCCCATCCCCAGAAATATATATATATATATATATATGTATATATATATATATGTATATGTTTTAATTAGCCAAAAAAATATATCACCTGGGTGTGGTGGTATATACCTGTAATCTTAGCTACTTAGGAGGCTGAGGCAAGAGGATCCCTTGAGCCCAAAATATTTGAGGCTGTAGTGAGCTATGATTGTGCCAGTGTACTCTAGCCTAGGTGATGGAATGAGACCCTGTCTCAAAAATAAATAAATAAATAAATAAATCTAAGTTGTGCATATTTATGTGCTTAGTACTATTTATACCACTATGCCACTATGTTTATATAAATCTATCTAATTAACATATGTGTGATAGTTACCTCTGTTCCAAAGAAATGTTGCCAAGGTCACTGGCTTTAAGGTACATACTTGTTTGTGAGTTCTAGTACTATCCTAGCTACATTTAGGTTCCTTTGGCTACAATCTTGAAATGATTTTTGTAGAGGGCTTTGGGCTTGAAGGAGCGAGGGCACAGTGGCAGCAAATCTGCTTTTGGCCAGGGGACAGAGCTGTAGGATAGGGACTACTTTTTTGACCACTGTGGCTAAAACATGCAGATTTGGCTAGAAAGTGAGGACTCAGTACAGGTTAAGCTTCCCTGACCCAAATATCCAAAATCAGAAATGCTTCAAAATCCAAAATTTTTTGAGTGTGGGCAAGATGCCACACATAGAAAATTCTACATCTGAACTCATGTGACAGATTATGATCACAATACAGTCAAAACTGTGTTTCATGTACAAAATTATTAAAAATATTGTATAAAATTACCTTCAAGATATGTGAATAAGATGTGTAGGAAACATAAATGAATTTTGTATTTAGACTTGGGCCAATCCCCAATATATCTCATTTTGTATATGAAAATATTCCAAAATCTGGAAAAATCCCAAATCCTAAATTATTCTGGTCCCAAACATTTTGGAAAAGGGATACTTGACATGTACAGTCAGAGAATACTCTGGATATTGGGTTGTTCAAGGATGGTAGAATAAATTGAAAGTTTAAAGGATCTGATGGCTACATGCAATCAGAACCCGGCAATGATTCAGGGATGCCTAAATACTCAAGGGATCCCTAATAGAATGTGAAGTACATAAGCTAGGCCAGTTTAGAGGTGAAATATTTGTGTATCAGTTGGTGTTCTGTAGAGAAAAAAAAATGTCTATCTCTGTATTTTTATATCCATCTAATCTCTGTATCTATATCTTTAATCTATGTATGTATATACCTATTTCTATCTAATCTGTTATCTATTTATAACTATATCTACCTATTTAATTCATTATTGATCTACCTAGATTTACCTCCCTCTTGATCTCTCTCTCTCTCCTTGTATATAGGTAGAGAGAGATGTATGCAAAGAGAGAGAGAGAGAGTGAGAGAGAGCATGATTTTTAAGGAATTGGCTCATGTGATTGTGGGAATCGGAAAGTCTAAAATCTACAATGCAGGCTGGCAGGGTGGAGACCCAGGAGAGAGTCGATATTACAGCTGAAATCTGAAGGTTATCCCAAGGCAAAATTTATTCTTTATTGGGAGACTTCAGTCTTTTCTTTTATGGCCTTCAACTGATTGGACGAGGTCCACCTGCAATATAAAAGGCAATCTTCTTTGCTCAGTTTAGGATCTAAAAACCTAGCCAAAATGACCCGCCCCCCCCAAATAAATAATAATAATAATAATAATCATTTGTATGATTCACCAAATATAAACAGAGAAAATTAGGGCCAATATCATCCTTTAGGCAGGTGCACACGGAATCGGAAGCCATAGATTCCACAGGCCTTGACACTCCATTGGATTCAAGAGTCAAACTCCTGTGACTGACTCCCCTTGGGGAGTAGAGGGATGAGCATTCATGCAGTGGTCACTGCACTCCATGTCCTCAGTTCCCCTGCAGTGCTCAGGGCTCAGCAATTAACCCTAGAATTTGACTGAAGGTTTGTAAGAAGCAACTACAGCCAATGAGTTGATAAATAGACTTCTGAACATGGTTAGCATAATTAATACACAGGTTTAGCTTATTTGGAAGCCTTTATAAACTTTTATATTGTAGCAGAAATGTGGCTTTGAATTATCCAGATAACTGTCTTCACTCTTCACTTCCCTGGACCTTTGTAGATAGAGTTTGAATATACATCCTGTGGTTGTATTTTAAAACCAATAATATTTTATCTAATTGTGAGCATTTGAGTCCAAGAACTACTGAAATACGTTCTATGGTTCTTAACATAAATGTTTGTTGATACTCAGTGTTTATGCAGAATCATACAAAATTTTGATTCCTGTCTCCTTTGTCTATGACAGCTTCATATCTAGAGAAACTTAGTGGAGCCCCACTTTTAAAATATAGAGTATAAAGTTGAAATTCAGCATTGGATGGAAAAGTTGCAAATGGCATAAAGGCAGCACAAAGATTTTGTGGAGAATCATCAACAATTTGTCACCAGTGTGAGAGTTTTAAGCATTTTCATTAGCTGGAACTTAGAAAGGTTAATCTGATGTAATGTATCAGTGAAATTAACATTGTTTTAAACATTTCTGTAGACTTGGAAGCAATTGACTTTAAGGTTCTTTTGGTATCTACATGTTCTGTCAAATAAGTCAAGTTCTGTGTTGCCCATGGATTTGAATTGACCAGAAGAAAAAGCTCTAACTTTTAATTTATCCCACAAGGTTAAAGGACTCTCAGTTATTCTGTCTAATAGAAAAACCTAAAAAAATATTAAAGAGGCTTTATAGGTTTGTTCATGAATAAGGTATTTTCACTACAAGTTTACTTTCTCAGCAATGCCTTTATCGGCTATGCTCTTCTGACCTGGTCATAGAGCAAAAATATTCTTTCTTCTCCTTATTTTTAAAAAATGGTAATTTCAACATCGCATTTAAATTTTCCAAGACTTCTTTTTAAATACATTTGTAATGTATGCTTTTTATTAGCAAAACACGATCAAGGAATTATCCCACAATATGAGACACCATTTATTCATCTTTTCTGCTCTGATATTTTTGTTATCATGAGATATTAAGTGGAATGTCATCTTTTAAGACCATATAACAATTAAATACTACAAGGCAAGGGCTTTGAAATCAACTAGGATATATAATATTTAATATTTCTCTTTTATGCTAGGTGATTGTCTTGCACTAATACAATTTAATCAGTTTCCAGCATTTCTAGAAAATCATAGTTCTATATGTGAGTTGAAAGAGAGCTAAATTTTTTTAGCTTCTCTTTAACGTTAATTTTAAATGCCAGCAGAGAACCAACTGCTGTGAAAATTAATGAATGAGCTACACCAGTCTGTCTTTATTTTGCACCAAATAATATTGCACTCTGAGAACATATGTGACAAACAAAATAAACTCAAGTAATACAAATGACACCAAAGAAATAGTAATCTATTAATATCTGCTATTTGTCTAAGCAGGCAGACTGACAATTTTGTTCTTTATCTACAACTATCTGAACTCTTCTTAAAGAAATAAAAATATGTTGTTATTGCTAATCCTAGAGAGTAGTGTTTTAGTATTACCATGAGATTCAATTGTATTACATTTACAAAATTATTGTATTTATTATTTCTCTTCCATTGTGTCACGTATCACAGAGAGATCTGTGAAACCCTAAGTTCTGAAATTCCACAGCTGCACTACATGGCATGAAATAGTGCACAAGGTAAGGGTGTGGAGTTCCCCATGTTTGGGTTCGAATCCTGGCTCAGCACTGCAATTTGTCAGCATTAGAAACTTTTAATGGCTGTGATTATCTCTTTCTTCATTTGTAAAACGAAGACAATGGTCTTTATCATATGCATTATATTCAGATGAGGGGTAAAAGTCTGTGTTAAGGATCCAGTGAGATACTCAATAAATTGTAGTTATCATACTACTAATCATCATCATTATACAATAAAG